CCCACTTCCCCACTCCCCCTGCACACTCACCCATGGTCTGTCCGTGTACAGGTGTCGGGGTCATCCACGGAGAGGTCAACACAAGGGCCAGGGTCAACGTCACACGCCATGATGACGTCATCACCCCGGCTCGCCGCACCTGTACGCAGACAGAACGTTGTGACATCAGTCAGTCAGTCATGTTTGTTTGTTCCGTTCTCGCAATGATCATAGATATACCCAGACATTGGAACATCAGTCAGTTGTGTTTGTTTGTTTATTCCGTTCTCGTAATGGTCATAGATATACCCAGACATTGGGACATCAGTCAGTCATGTTTGTTTGTTTGTTCCGTTCTCGCAATGGTCATAGATATACCAAGACATTGGGACATCAGTCAGTTGTGTTCAGTCATTTTTTGTTTTAGTAGAGGTTTTATGGTGCTCGCAACTGCATAAGGTCATATGAGCGCCCAAAGGTTAGAGCTGTTACAAGAGAGTAACAAACATAAAAAAGAAGGAGGGGAGATAAGGACGATAGTGTTTGATAGGAAAGAAGAAGCAAACCGCACCAGAGCACCCGCCAACCACTCACATGTTTAGTCAGTTCTTGTAATGGTCATATCCATATACTCCCACAATTCTCACATATATGTACATACATACCAAGACACCAGCACTCAATGATCCAGGACCAACAAGGAAACTTACTCAGTACATTCATGGTCAGTGATACACAGACAGAACATGGGGATATCAGTCAGTCATGTGTGGTCATTTCTCGTAATAGTCATAGATATACCAAGATATTGAGACATCAGTCATCTTTGTTCAGTCAGTACTCGTAATGGTCATAGATATACCAAGACATTGGGACATCAGTCATGTTTTTTTCAGTTCTCCTAATGGTCATAGATATATGAGAATATCGGTACATCAGTCATGTTTGTTTCTTCAGTCAGTACTTGTAATGATCATAGATATACCAAGACACTGAGACATCAGTCATGTTTGTTTAGTCCGTTCTCGTAGTGGCCATAGATATACCAAGACATCAGTCATGTTTAGTGAGTTCTCGTAATGGCCATAGATATACCAAGACATCAGTCATGTTTAGTGAGTTCTCGTAATGGCCATAGATATACCAAGACATCAGTCATGTTTAGTGAGTTCTCGTAGTGGCCATAGATATGCCAAGACATCAGTCATGTTTAGTGAGTTCTCGTAATGGCCATAGATATACCAAGACATCAG